AAAAAAAAAAAAAAAAGAAAAGTTTTATATTTTTAATTATATTTTAAGATAAAAAACTATTCTGCATTCTAACCATTGCAAATATCTCGAATACTTTTTTCAGCCACAACATTTTGAGTATTACAATGTTTGTGTGACCGTTACCTTTTTTCAAGGTTCATCTAACAAAGATTTGTGCTTTCATTGATGTTTTTAATTATCAAGAACAGTTTGCTGCAGAGTTTTTCAAATATTTTTATTTCAATTTTTAATTTTAAATAATCAAACTGCGTATGCATCGCTGTACTTATGGAAACATCAACTTAAATCAGCTTCATCTATAGAAAACAATCTTATGATTAAGCTGCAATGCAACGTACCAGTCACTTCTACTTGCTATCTGGGCAACGGGGAAAAACTTTTCGTTCCGATCGTACACACCGCTTCTAAAATTTTTGCGGTAGCCCGTCTCTGATAGTTTACATCAATGAACGTCAGAAATTCTTTCTGAAGTGTACTGTTTACCTCTTTAGATTTGTTCTGCTGTACGAAAGTCTATTTGTAAGCATTGGCGGTGAAGTTGTACTGAGGGTAAGCGTGTGGGCAAAATGTTAAATTAGCTAAGTTAACTTCTTTTTTCAGAAGTACGTACATTTAATGGTTCTTCAAATAGATTTAACCCTTCATTGCATCAAGCATCAGCGTTGAAAAGCTGCAAGTTATGTGCGTATGCAGCTGAACAATTTTAAGGAAGTTTCAGAGTTTTTACAGTGGGGAAAAAGCGTTTAAGCTTAATGTATGTAAATTTTTTTTCAAATCCCTGGCAAAAGGTTCATTTTTGATACGAGTGTTTTCGTTATCCAATACGTTATCTACACTAACAGTTTTTTTTTCTAAAAAAAATAACTAACATTTACAATTTTACATCAAAGAGCGTGAAATCGCGTGAAGTTTGGTGATGTCTTTTACTTGAATATTTGCGCTGTAAAACAGTATTGAAAAAATTATTGCTGTCTGATGGGCATAAAACATTAAGCATCTATTTTTTCAAGTAGTATCACTGACTATTTTTTCAATAAAACCGGTATATTAAAAACAGATACAGTATTTCCACGCACGTACATCTTTTTTTTAGTCAGCTGACTGCGCAGTCTGACGCCGTGAACAAGCTGTTAGTGGTCTATGAGAGACGATTAACAACTTAATCTCACAGTTAGTTAGAGTATACCTCCAAAATTGGTCATGTTACTCTTTTCTGTTTAGCTTATTTTACATAACTTCGTTTTCTTTTTGCACCTACAGGTTACTGTATACTTATGACACCGTTGGTCATGCTAAGTTGGTCAGCAGTCGCAGCAGTGTAGTAGATAGAGGATCGTTAGTACACAATGACATTAGGCCTCACAGAGTAGAGTAAAAATATTTTTATTTTACCTCAAATTCGTTTGTAATAACTTTGTCGTAGATTGTGTAGTAGAAAAGAGAAAAAACCTCATTTAAAACTATTACCAATCGATAGGTAATAGAAAAAAATGTTAAAAGCTCTTTTCTCAGAGACATTTTTTTACCGTTAAATGTTTTTGAGGACTTAGAAATATTTCAGTGTACTACCTGCAACCCTAAAAAGACAAATCCAATCTAGTGAGTGTATTCACTGCCATTTGCCTTCTCGTTTCTCTCTTTTTCTCTCTCTTCCCACACCTCGATCTATGTATACAACGCATGCTTATAGTAAAGCATAGAGGGAGGATGGCTCGTAGCTCATTGTGGCTGACACATCAGCAGTGGCCGCTCTCTTCTTTTCACTTACTATAACAGCAATCGTTGAAAGTGATAAATACGTTTTTTTAGCGTAACTTTGCGCTTCTTAGAAGATATTTAATAGACCAAGTCGGTAGAAAACTTTTCACCCTACGTAGCTGATATCTTTATTTTTAACTATTTTTCCCGCGATCAGCATGAAAAATACGTAGATAACGTAAAATGCTTTCTTGCTTAACAAATTTCTAACTCGGAGCTTAAGAAAGTCGTCTATATCTTACTTCTGTTGTTTTATTTTAATGTGACAAGTTATAGATTCTTTTAAATTAGTAAATAGGATGATTTCATGACAAACATATTTTTTTTTTTTTCATGTATAGGCCAGATGCCAGCATTTGGCCTGCATTTATTAGATAAAAGCAATGTTTTAATTGGTACTTCAGCGTTTTTTACCGTAGAACACAATTATCCTTACCCACACTCTGGAAAAGTTGCACTTCATTTCTTAATTTAACAATTTATTGAAAAGAAGTAACTTTTTTCACGTTTTGATTTATTTCACTTTTCCTGTGCATTTTTTGTAACACATACTTTCTAGAGTATTTTTTTCCATGCTTAATTATCTAATAAGTAAGCCTTGGTAGAAGTTGTTAAGTATTTTTTGTAACGGTAAATAGCATTC